CGCGCGCGCGTGTGTGTATACGTGCGTGTGTGTGCGCGCGTGTGTATATACCATATATGTGCGTGTGTACGCGCGCGCGTGTGTGTATACGTGCGTGTGTGTGCGCGCGTGTGTATATACCATATATGTGCGTGTGTACGCGCGCGCGTGTGTGTATACGTGCGTGTGTGTGCGCGCGTGTGTATATACCATATATGTGCGTGTGTACGCGCGCGCGTGTGTGTATACGTGCGTGTGTGTGCGCGCGTGTGTATATACCATATATGTGCGTGTGCGCGCGCACGTGTGTGTGTGCATGCGTGTGTGTGTGTGTGTGCGTGTGCGCAATATGCACGCGTGCCTGCGCGTGTGGAGACTGTAAGGTGAACACGAATAATCAAGCAACGCACCGATACTGCAAGTTACGACCGCAAACGCCACGCGCACATCAACGCTAGCAGGATGTTCATCACGGCGTGAATATGCCGGAATTGCGCAGCGACCCGGTTACAACGATCACCCTTGCAAACACAGGAATACGTCAAGATGGCGCCCGAATCTCCTCCTTCGTCCACGAATGTATCTCTCCTGCACGTGTCCAATGCGGTACTCTCAGCCGGAAGACAGCCTCGCGCCACCCACTGGGCTTCTGTCGCGTGATAGAAAAGAGACAGGGCCTAATCATTATTAGATCTGCGTAGAATTCCTTCTGCCGCGGTGTCATTTCACGATATGAGCTCATAAAAATTGTTGCCAATATAATATAAATGCCATTGAATTTCCGTATACATATGAATATATATATATATATAATATATATATATAATTATATATTCGAGCACACCGATGAATGCATTACACATAGTATAATCAGGGCCGTAGCCTCTGGATAATAATGAAACAAATTAAATTACAGTTTACATAAACAGTCGCAATTTACAAAAAACACAATCTTCAGCATAACCTATCCTACATGTGATTTATTTCTGGAAAATTTTGCCTCCACCCCCTACCCCCCTGCTCAACCTACGGTCCCGAAAATTATCCTCGTATACCATTTTGTTGAATTTTTAACTTGACACAGAAGCCGTCACATATGTCTGTCATTTCCGTGACATTTTCCGGGAATCGAGTTGCATCCATGCACGAGTTTGATACAGCCATCGTCAGAAGATCAAGTTTGAATGCGACTGGAACGATGTTACACGAATATGGAACGATGTGGAACGATGTTACACGAATATATCATCATAGAATTATATATGTATCAAACAACGAGCACCGTGGAGTAATATGGAGGGCGTCAAGGTCGTTAGGATATTTCAGTTACCGGCGAACTATATTTCGCAGACCTGTGAAAGTATGATAAGAAATGCTTCTAAATGTAACGCTAACACACCAAGCCAGATACTAGAGCAGGTTTAGCTTATTTCATGATAATATGAATTATATTACGTCGTGGTTCCGCGACGTGATGTCGTTGAGGGAGAATTAGAAAATTCGGGGAACAAAGGTTCGTGCATGCAAGCGCGAAAAGGTGAGGGGGAATTAAACAGATGAATGGGAAGGGGCTACGATTGAACATAATGTAAAATACTTCAATCAAACGATAGATTGAGGAATGCGACGACAAGATAGACGAAGTGAGAGATTGCGTGCGTGCGAGCGTGTGTGAGCGAGTGAGACGAAATATTGAGCGTGTGTGAGCGAAATATTGACTGAGCGATGCAGAGAGGGGGAGAGAGCGAGAGCAGGAGCAAACGAAGATGAAGATGGAAAATAAGAAACCAAGAAGAACTAGTAGTACAAGAAGAAGAAGAAGAAGAAGAAGAAGAAGAGATGATGGAGATGATACGATCCGCCATGATGATGATGATGGCAGGAAAGAGGAGGATCGGCGAGAGAGGAGGCATCGGAGGCAAAAGAGAGGCAGGCAGCAGGGAAAGAAGGTCGCGAGAAAGGAGAAGAGAGAAGAGGAACGAGCAGAGAAGAAGACACCCCGAAGAAGAAGGCAAGTAAAGAAACGAAGAAGAAGACATGTGGAGGAGGCAGCGCAGGACGAGGAGGAGCAGGAGACGATGAGGAGGAGGAGGAGGAGCCAGGAGGCCGGGACGGGGGAGCTAGAAGCAAGAAGAGCGAAGAAGCAAGAAGAACGCGGTAACAACCACTATACCACAACAAAACGATTATTCAAATGACTACATAATGAAAACAATTTGCAATTGTATAGCCTCCCCTAATGGCATGCGATGGATGGATGGCATGGATGGGACGACGAGACGTGACGGCGCGCGGCATGGCATGGGTGGGATGGATGAATGGATGGCATGGATGGATAGGTAGATGCAGGGGATGGGCATTGGATGGCCATGGATGGATGGATACAAGAAAGACAGACCAGCCCACACACACACGCGCCACGCCACGCGCGCCGCAACACACCAACACACACATACCGATATATTACGATTATACTGATTAGAGAGCAGAGAGAGAGAGAGAGAGAGACGGAGTCAGAGAGACCCAGAGGAGACGAGAAGAGAGAGTGAGAGACAGCGAGAGCAGAGCAGCAGAGAAGCAGCGAGACAGAGCAGGAGAGGATGAAGAGACCCGATGAGAGAGAGCAAAGAGAGAGAGGAGAGAGAGCGAAAGATACTATTATACCGCTACCGTTTATACCCTATATACTATATATAGCTACTACTTATATATTATAATATAGATACTAAT